ATATGGGTGTATAACAGGTGTAATAATATTGTAACATGGGTGTAATAATAGTGTAATATGGGAGTAATAAGAGTGAAATTACGGTGTTATTTGGGTGTTATATTGCTGTAAAATGGGTGTGATATGGGTCTAATAACAGTGTAACATGGGTTTAGGCTGCGATGTTGGTGTAATTATGGTGTAAAATGGGTGTAATAATCGATTAATATGGCTGTAATACAGGTGTATTAATGGTGTAATAGAGGTGTATTCATGTGTAATATGGATGCAATGTAGACAATAGCAAGCAATAATCTTCAAAAATATTGAGTGCCCATTTAAGGTTTAAAAGATGGACATAATTGTTGACATTTCCATAAAATACACTTTGATTTGAAGTAAATTGGCAGTGTCTGCTCAGCATTTACTTCTGTATACTGTTCATCAGTTAGTTGTGAACGTTGTTCTTTATATATAGTGTGTTTCTTAAAGAAAAAGAAGCCCCCCAGGTTAGACATTTTACATTTCCAAATACAATGAACTGATTTTCCCCTTTTTTCTGCATCATTTAAAGTTATGTATTGCTTCTTTTATAAAGAAACACAATTTATTGATAGATCATAATAAAGCATCAAGAAAGAGAACATTTATTTGTGGGCACTCATAGATTCATAGATGTGTATTCAAAGTGCTGGAGGAAATGTTCTGTTTATTTTATCACTGTCTAAAGGAGCTTCATTTTCTCATTGTCTTGCATGCTTCATTCACACGCATGAAAGTGGCCTTATCAAGATGTCAGATTATGTCTGTTTTTCTCGTACATGCATTTTCTCACTAACCACTGTAACCATCCGTCCTGTTATTTTGCAACATCAGTAAAAAAAAGCAAACTTGTAGCAAGTGTTCATTATCTGTAAAAAAAAATCTATTCTATGAAGAGAATATTTGCCTATTTGTTGTTGTTTTTATTACCAAATGTCATGTTTCAGATGTATATAGTTACTTCACGTACAGTATGGTGGAGTATTTTCGTAATTCAACTCAGGAAAGATTACTATTTATTATAGGCACTGTAGTTGGTACGACATAACATACTGTAGGTATATTTAAGAGTGTTGCGCTTTTGGTTCTGATAAACATATTTCTAACAGTGTAAGATTATTTTTCCTACTGAAAATCCCCCTTATGGTTGTTGTTGTAGTGGGAGGGGGAACTGTTCCTCATTTACTTTCCAAGTCCAGAGTTTCCCTGACAGTTTATTGTCTCTCTGTGTTGATTGTTGTTGAAATACAAGTTTGTCACCCTACATTACATTGCATTACATGTCACTTGTTAGACGATTTTATCCAAAGCGACTTACATACATACATACATACATACATACCCTACAACACTCTGCCTGCAATTGTCTATACTTTTAATTACCTTCTGGTGCAATGAATATTGTTTTTTCATCAGTAAAATCTATATAAATATTGACAAGAGTATTTAAAAACGGGGAAATGTGGACAAGGCAAATATCAACAATCAATTGTCAGAGGTAAGAAAACAATTTGGGTTTATATTACCTCGACAGGTTTAGGAAAAGATAAGAAGTGTTTATGTACAGATTCTTAGATGTGAACGCGTATAGATCCCTCTTTTTGTTGTATTTGTCATACTCCAGATTCTGATGTTGTGGTGAACTAATGTCTAAAACTCTAATAACTAATCATTCACAGTGAAGGTCAAACATACACAATAGGCAAAACACTTCAACATTAAATGATTAGGTACTGATGTAAAAATAAGGTTGAAATGCAGCTACATTTTAGTGGTTAGATCTGAAATTAATATGCAAAGAATGTGACTTTAGTTTGAACAGCTGTAATTATATTACATCTCAGCCCTATTAAACTGGAGAAAAATATATCCAATCAATATCTTAAATCATTTGGGTCGACATTGAGAGATATGTTCCTGTGCAAAGGAATCAATATATTAATGGCTTATTATGTGACCAATGGAAAGCATGTAGATTTAGAAAGTAATGGGGCCCATAAACAACCCTTGGGGTGCACCACAAGAGAGTTTCACATGGAGAACAATTAAACTACCAAGTTAAGTGTACTACATGTAGCCTATAAGTATATGTGTTCATGTACATAAGGTTTGTACATTGCATGATGTTGATATGTTTTATAAAGTGTTTGATTACCGTCCACATATATATTATTTTTCACAGTAACGGTACGTCCACACGGTTCCGTTGCGTTGAAGCTTGCCGGTGGGCGTGTCTGGCGCCGGTGTCTCCCGCCCCGGACACACAAGCACGTGGTTTGATTGGCTAGCGCTTGTACTGGCATATGATTTGATAGACTGGCGCTTCCATCGACACTTGAAAAGTTGAACTTTTCTCAACTTTTGAAGCGAGCAACGGAGGCAAAGCGATGCGACGGAACCACAATGCAGTTCACCCCATTCAAATGAATGGGAAGCGTCTCCGTTGAAGCACGCAACGGAACCGTGTGGACGTTACGTAATATTGGTCCAGTTGTTATTGCAGCGGAAGCTATTGCTTTCCCATAAATTCTTCTAGTTTTCTATTTCTTTAAAGTAATCAATCACTCACTCAATAAAGAGTAAATATAATAATGAGTTGTTTTTTTATTTTTAGGTATTATTTTTGTGTTTTTCCTTTCTTTTTCGTACTGTGTGTTTTGTCAGTATATGTAGGTGACAGATTAAGGAATTAATGGAGGTTTGAATACAGATGCTCTCACAAAGATTAGTTGGAATCACTGACTGGTTTGTTGAGTATTATATGAGTTATATTTTGTGCAATACACAATTTAGTTACCACTCTTTCCCACCTTCATCAAAACATCAAATTGAGAAATAGGCAAAGGAAGTCTTTCTTTTGGGCTTGAAAAATCTGAAATTACAACAGAAAATCCAGTACAACAAAAACATTATTACAAAGAAGTGACACAAAAGGACAACCATTTAAAATAATGTTAGTAAAAGGTGCAAATAAATGTTTCACTGGCATTATGATCAAAAGCAAGAGCATGTGCCTATAACCACAACAAAAAGGTAGAAGATGAAAAAAAACTGTGACGTAAAAATGGTTTGACTTCCTGTGATGCTACCGGTGATAAGGTGAACCTCAGTTCCACGACTCATTCATCATCTGAGACATCAACACGTCAGGACACCCCCGAGGTAAAAACACTTTTCCATTCACTACATCATAGAGCACATGACAAATGTTACATTTCTTGTCTTTTTCAAAAAATCTAAACTTGAGGTATATTCTTTTGTAAATGGGTTGTATTTAATGTGTATACAGAGAGATATATTACTACTAATGTTGGTGTA